TTTGCACAAGTTTAAAATGTGAATTAATATGATTTTTGTTAAATAATGAGCTATAATTTTATAAAAAAAAAATAATAAATATTAAGTAAACGAAAGAAACATAGGCAAATTTTGAAAAAATGTTGTGTTCCTATTTATTTTTCCACCACATACATATTTATATTATTAGCAACCTCGTTAACTCTACAACTTTTCCATTTACAGTGCAATCAAGTAAAGTATTTTATTTCATACAAGTTTAAGATCGAATATAAAATTTTTCCTAAAAAAGCAATAAAGTAAGCTTTCTCACAGTTCTTATCTTTAAATGTTTTTTTGTTTTTAATTTCTTGTATTATTTCTTTCTTCTGTTAGCCTTTTTCATTACTTAATTATCATTAGTTTTTTCTTAGCACACCATCATCATCTATTTAATGCTTTTTTTATTCTAAAGCTCGTTAAAATGCTTTTCAGTCATTGATTTGCATTTGCGCATGCTTATACCGCACAGCCGCTATTTGCTCTCATCTCCCTAAGCCAAGAATGAATTTGGTATCTGTGTCAAATGCTAAATATTTTTATACATTTGCATAAAACCTAGAGGTGTGTACATAAAAATACAAACTAATTGCGTGGTATAAAATTTTAAATATTTATGTTTATGGTTGTCTAATGAAAAAGTGGGACAAGCGCTTCGCACAGCTACTAAAATATGACAATAAAAGCTAGAAGGAGAGTGAGTTTCATATGCTTAAGTGAAATGCATTAAATTTTAATTCTTCTCTTTGAAATATTTCACGGAGCGTTCAGAAAAAAGGGTCGTCTACAATCTGGAGATAATTTTTCAATGTTATGTCGCTGGCATAAGCCTAAACCTGGTAATAAATTTTTTGCTGTCTCAAAAGAACTGTGAACGGTGAGGTTCCAAAGTAAGGGATACACGTTATTAAATGCTCCTTCTATATCGAAATCTTCTTTAAATGCAAGCTCTCTTTCAAACGCGAAAGAAGAAGAAGTCCTCTTTCAATATTAGGCAGGCATTTTTGGAGTGCAAAGTCCATGACTTTCTATTACAGTATGTTTGTATAATTTTGCGTATATACCAGCCTTTCGAGAATATTTAGCTTCGACGTGCATTTTTGACCAATCACTTTTTTGGATTGTGGCAGTGGTATATATTAGTAAGCAGTGAGCAGTGGCGGTAAATATTTCATCAGGTCTCGGTGGGATCTAATAATTTATTCCACCGTTGTACAGTTAACATTGTTTCTTAAAAAATGTTGATAGGTATAGGCCTTCAAACCTTACTCGCCTTACTGTTTGTGAATAAATAAAGAGTTTCCCTTCATTCTCGAGCTCAACCATTCGTCGTCTTGATTCTAGACGAAAGTTGGGGGCAACTACTACATATCTCACACGATCTTCAAAAGTGGCAGGGCCTAATATTTGGCATTTTTGAAATTACGTACTAAAAATCATGATAAAAACATAGCAAGGTATAACCGTTCTCTCAATTTGTCGGCCATGATTTTTTTTTGAAGTTTGCCAATATTTTAAAATCATATAAAAGTGAAAATAAAAAATTGAAATTGTACGAAATTGTTGTTGCTTGAGATTGAAAATGAAAATGTGTGTGTGAGTTTGTGAGTTAATTTAAAAATTAAATTGTTTGGAAACGTCAAGAATTTTAAAAGTGACTCTCAGCGGTTCTACCTTACTATATTTTTATCATGCTAAAAATGTACACAAAGCTTTTATTTACCTCTCAGCGAAAGCTAAAGAAAATTTTTGTTTTAATTTGTTGAAAAAATCTAAGTTACAGTCTTCCTTGTCCATATAATTAGCATGTCCTAAAAAATAGTTTTCTCCAATTCCAATAGTTTCTTCCAATTTTCTGACGGACGTAATATTTTGAGTTGTGTCACTTTAGAAGATCGTGTGCGATATGGGCATGTATGGCAGGCCACAGTAATATTTTAGGAATCTGCACGGCGGATTAGTTGGACAGAAAGGGCAACCTCGAGTCGATCTAATCGAAAAAAGGCAGAAAAATTTGATTACGAGAGGACTACTCTCGGGCAGATGGGACTCCTGTTTGCTCAGGACGGAAAAATTTATCAAAGCCATAACTCTCAATTCTGTTGGCCATATTGACGTGATACTATCGGATTGGAATTCACGCGATGGGACTTAATATCACACTGGATCCTTTATTTTGCAGCTGTTTGGTGGACGAGTTGGTGGAAAAATGTCAACACTTCTTCTCAAACTATCCAGATTTTAATCAGCCCTGAGGAGCTCACTTAAAGCTCTCCCGTCAACTATTTTTAACACCCGAACGAAGGAGGTCAGATTACAGCTAGGAATTCATTTCGATGGTGTACAAATTCCGATGGTGAATAACCCGAAAATTCTCGTAGTTACCTTCGATAGTCTGCTTTCCTTCTCGGCGCATACAACCGTGAAATAGACTAAAGAGTCGCAACAAGGTCCTGAAATGGGTAGCCGTCAGCACCTGGGGAAAAGACACAGAAACGTTGCTGGCAACATACAAGGCAATTAGTCGGCAGGTTCTAAACTATGCAGCGCCGTGTGGTCGGCGGGGACTAGTGGCACGCAGTGGACATAGGTACAGACCTGCCAAAACACGGCACTCTGGATGGTGGCCGGATTTCTTCTGATGTCGCCACAACACTATCTACGCCACAAGACAAAAATTCTCCCCATCCGGGAGCATAATACAATACTCTACAAACAATTCTAGTAGGGTGTCACCAACGTGGACAACCCTACCTCTGGACCCGACAGCATACCGACAGTCCAGAACTTTGTCTGTTTCGGGAGGCTCGAACCACAATAGCTCAGCTTCGCTCTGGCTACTGCTGAAGGTTAAATTCGTACCTGAGCAGATGTGCCCAACGAGTGCCCGGCATACGGAGAGATACCCCACGTTTCAAGACATCGCTTTGCATGCCTCTTAAACCCCACTCAGCTAACACCTCTGTCCCTATGGGCAAACCCAATAGAATATCACGATTCCTGGGTCTTCCGTTAGTCGAGCTTGACAACAACTATTGAAAGACAAGCCGATCTAAGCAGGGTTGAGTAGTCGTTACAACAACAATAATAGCTGGCCTGGATGGAAATCTTCCATCTGTGAAACTTAGTTTATTACATTTATCGTTTATCGCTGTGGCTTAATTTTTACCGTTCGTAGTGGCATTATAAATGACACATTCTTATGGGGGAGACTGTGACCCTGTTTGGTGAAACTATCTTAACCCCATTCTTCTAGCTAATTTAAAATCTTTCTGATGTAACGTCTTTAGTCGGAAACCTGCTTTTATAAATCGACCAAGTCTCAGGGCAGGAAGTTTAAAAAAAGAAAGGAAATACTGCTATTGTCGGAGAAAGTGTTTAGAAAGAAAATATTGTTACGACATTTCAAAAGTTTAGAAAAGAAAACAAGTAATTTTTAGCAAAAAAAACCGACTTCAACTCTCATATAAAAAAAATATATATATATATATATCTCATGATCCATTGATTGAAATCGGTTGACGTGGTCCAAAGTTATGCGGTAACATACATAAAAAAAAAAATATTCCGACGAACTGATAACCTCCTCATTTTTTGGAAGTGGGTTAATAATAATAAATAAGGCAACATTGAAAAAACTTCTCTATATGTGACCTGGTCTACGAAAAGGGAGCTTACGTGCGAAAACTAGTTTTCTGTGAAAAAGCTGTTAAAACTCGTTTCGTCAGTTTCTCATTATCTCGTTAATTGTTCTCCGCGCCGGACGTCCAGTAAGTGTTGTTGTTGGTCCAGTAAGTGTTGTTGTTGGTCGGAATATTATTATAGTTCATCGTGTAAGTTGCTAGTGTGGAACATTTAAAAAAGTAACACTGANGTGAAAAAGCATCTCATCTTCCATCCGAATCAACCAAAAAGTGAAAATTGATTTTTTTTACACCTAAGCCCCCTTTCCGTAGACCAGGTCACATATGCAGAGTAATAGTTCATTTGCCCAAAGCCTTAACTGCAGTTTATGCCTATTGGAAATAGGAGATTATTACTCGAAGGGCGTAAATGCTCATATTAAGTACAAGCAAGCGGAAGTATAAAAGCAAAAAGTAAAAAATAAACCTTGCTGATTACCGCATGTTTAAATTCTTGAAACCTTTAGTGGAAATGGGCTAAAATTCTATGGAAAATTCATTTCGCTTTTACATCAAAGAGTTGATCGAGTCAATTTTTGTTCCTTCCAATTTAAATGACGAGCAAATGTAAAGGCATTACAGATAATTATAGGACAGGGAAACAGATTAAAAAAATTATAGCTTTTTATTCCCACATCAGAAAATATTGGAGTTGGACTGGGCCAAAATTGCTTAGGCCGCCAACAATAAAAAGATGCTAAATATTTTATAAATGTAAGAAAAATATTATAGCGATAAATTTGAGTGTACTTCTAAGCATTCCGCTTAAGTCCAAACAATTTTCATTGATTTACATGTAATAATTCAAATAAATATTATCATTTAAACATTTACAATTTGATTTTATCAACATTCGTTGGCGATAATTATTAAATAAACATTTAGCAGATATGCCATGCACGTCTAGCACGTCGTGACTTTTAATAATAGAAATGACTGCAGTTCATATACAGTAAAAAAATATGTATCTATGAATTATGGTACACACTACGTTTATCAGTTACTCATTGCAGTAGCATGCAGTTGGCGACTGACTATGCGCTTAGTTCATACATTTTATGAATAAATATTTTTCACAACTTGTACTATACATAGGAGCAGATAATTAATTTGCATTTCTATGAGTAATTTCGTTATTCGATTGACAAACTTGTGTACTTGTGTACTCGTATGTTAATAGTAAACAATTGGTATTTTAATTAAGATTTAACTAAGATTTTAAATTGACTTAGATTAACGTAAGAGACTACTCAATTTAACGATCCAAGAAATCATAAAACTTTCCTTTTTTGTTTTATTTTCCAGAACATATTAGAGAAATTTAATCCCGGTGCACGTCAACTCATCTCCACGGGCAAGGGTTATCTCAAAGCTCTGCATGGTGAGTAATAATTATTCAAAACAAAAAACATACTAAAAAAATATGATAAACAGCTGGTCGTAGAAATAAATTAAGTAGCATTATAATCATAAGCAATCAGCATTAGAAAATATTTATTACGAAATGTCCAAGCATTTTGTATGTTAATGTGATGACCTTCCTTAATTTTCCGTTGCTGCACAGGTGCTGCATCTGCGTCACGTCTATTCAATGAAGCATTAGCCAAGCTGGCAATGAATGCACAACAAAGTGGAACTAACGATATTGGTAAGAACAAAAAAAAAATATGCGAAAAATAGTAAAAATATTAATAGAAAAAAATAGAAGCATATAAAGCTAACAAAAACAAGGTAAACAAGAAGGATTCGTCTATCTAGCAGCCTATACTAGCGTATTCAAAAACTAATTACAAGATAGCAGTAGCTTCAAGCTGCACGTGTTTCTACACAATGTTGCGGCAACAAATTGTATAGAGCTAAAGCTTATGTGTAGTTAACCGCTGCTAGCTGTTAGATAAGTGTGTGACATGAGATACACACAAATGCTTTTCAAAGGCATTTCATTGTTCACGAACTGCTAAGCGTTAACTTTAATGTGTATTGTTATTTTGCACTCTTATTTTTTCTATTAATAATTTTTTATACATATTTCTCTGGTTTTTCTGAAGGTGCGGCTTTAATGAACGTCGTCAGCGTTTACAAAGAAATTCAAGAACAACAAATGAATATTGTGAGTAACCATAGAATGTTATTAGTTTTTATGCCACTGAATCATAAATCATATCTTATGTTTTATGCATAAAAATATAATTTTCTGTGTTTTTTTTTTTGTTATCATTAGTTAAAAGCGTTCTATGTTGATTTATTGGTGCCATTGGAAACAAATTTGGAAAAGGATACAAAAGTTGTACAACATGAACAAAAGAAATTCTTGCAACAGCACAAAGTACGCATGGAGAGTTATCAGAAGGCAGTCTCCACAATGAAAAAGCAACGCAAGAAAAAGGCTAGTGCAGAGAATACGGAAAAAGAGTTAAGGGTGAGTGAGCGATATTTAGAAACTGTCTATATTATATTGAATAGCTTGAACAGTGTTGTATATGTCAAATTATAAAACTCAAGTAATCGGTGGGTATATGCCCAGCAAGCACAATTTTGCGCACTAAGGCTATTTTAGTTCTCTTTAATTTGGATAAACGAATTGTTTATTATTAGGAAAATACTTTTATTCGGCGTTAAAAAATATTTGGCCATGTTTAACTGTTAAAAAAATAACTGTTATTTTCGGTCCCTGATTTAGAGCAGCTATATACTGGAAATTAGTATCGCTTAGGTCTTTAATACGAAAATATTTTGAAATAGGGTTTCCATTTATTTAAAATTACAATCAGAGCATCAAATGAAAATAGTTCAAACACATTTACTTAAAAATATGTTTAGGTATGTGGGCTTGCAACTTAAAAATTTTAGCCACTAATGTGTTCGATATGGAAATATTTTTGTATAGGATTGCCAACTACCAAAAAAAAATAAAAAAATTTTAATATAAATATCAAACGTAAGGTGTTTAAAAATCTCTGAAAATTTTTGTGTAGGGTTACCAACTTTCAAAACATATACAAATTATAGGTTATGTTTAATAAGCTGCTCTAGGTTACGCCAGGTTAATATTTCTTATAAAATTGTATTTCATGAGGATTTTTCTTGCTCTAACTTGCTCTAACTTACTTTACTTTTTGTTCCATGAGCCTGCGCTAAGTGGAACTAGAGCAACTTAGAGCACGATTTTCCTCTACCGCTTTTTTAATGGAGTAACTTCGAGCAAGCAACTATTTTGAGAGTTTCTGAGTTGTTCTAACTTGCTCTATTGTTTTTTTTGACAGCTGCTCGTATCACTTAAACACAACTATAATAAGGACATCAAACGAAAAGCCATCTAGGAGAAGTTTTTGATGATCATATCAATAAAAATGCCACTTGTGTGTCCTCAAAGATTTTAGGAGCGTGAAATAGCAACGCACGGCGGGCAGTGCCCAGTATCTACTTGACTTTGAAAAAATGATTCTAGTTGCACAATTTTTTTTAACAAACTAATATTTTCCCACGTACCTTTCATCATCCAAATTAGACTTCTTAATACCTTATTAATACAGCTGTGTTGCTCTCTTTTTGCAGAATCTCCAAATATTGGAGGATCAAAAAAAGAAATTGGATACGTTCTGCGAACAAAGCTACAAAAATGTGAGTAAAATTGCGTACAATTGCTTTAATAAGGCACAAGCGTATACAGCGCAAGCGCATATACATACATATGTACATACATATAAACATTTGCGCTTAAAAGCATACTTAAGCCTCTACAGCTACACATTTTAAAGTTCATATAAACAGCTGGTTTTAATATTTCTTTGGAATTTTTCATATTCGCTAATAGGCCATGACACAGGAGCGCCGTCGGTATGGTTTCGTGCTTGAACGCCAATGTTCCATAGCCAAGCATTGGATGGCCTATCACAGCACTGGCAAGATGGTAATTGATAACAATTTGGAAAATTGGCAAGAAATTGCCGCTTCACGTGAAGTGATACCAGCGGCTGCCTTGTATGAGATGGGCGGCGGCGGTGGTGGCGTTGGCAGCTACAGCAATGCCAGCAGTGGCAAGAGGATGGTAAGTACTACAGGAAACGCCAAAATACATACTACCTACATACGTACGTATGTCTGCAATAAGTAGAGATTTGTGCGGATTCACGATTATTAACTTAAATTGGCTGCTACGGTTTTTGTTTTGTTTTGTTTCGTTTAATTTTCCACTACCTGCTTTGCTCTAATTGCGGCTGCAGGAGCGTCTCAAAGATGGTGAGGACATGCATGCCGTTGGCAATTCGTCATCATCACAGCTGAAGAAATCACGCAGCGTGGACGCGCCCTACGGCGATATGCGTACCTTGCACGAAAGCCATGTGAGCTATACGCAGAATTCGCTGCCGCGCGCCAAATCCGACTACAATCTGACAACGGTGACGAACTGTAAGTAGCGCTGCTGTAGCGAAGNACAAAATTTTTTGGTAATTTAAAAACTATTATGGCGATTTAAAAGCTGGACATTCATGGTTGATGGTTTGAGGACTTTTTTATTGTTTTGCAATTAAAAACGAAATACGCTTTTTAATAGTTTAAAACTGAGCATAAATTTTTGACCATTTTTGACTATTTGGAACGGGACATAAATTATTAGCTATCTAAATACTGGGCATGTGTAATTTACTGGTCTTTAAAAATATATATGTAATTATTTTTAATTTAAACTGGACATAAATTTTCGGTTATTTAGAAACAGGCATAAATTATTAGTAATTTAAAAACTGGCTAGTGACTTAAAAATTAGATTTAATTTTAATGATTTGAAAATTGAAATTTTTGGTAATTTAGGAATCGGTTATATATTTTTGGTAGTGTAAAAACTGAGCGTAGATTTTTGGTTATTTAAAATTTGGAGATTTTTCCGTAATTTAAAAAACTGGGCATACATTTTTTTTGTAATTTAAAACCAGTGCCGTATTTTTGGCCAATTAAAATCTGGACATATATTTGCGTTAATTTTAATATGGGACATTAATTTAGCTGATTTAAAACCTGTCCAGCTAAATAGTCCCGCCAAATGGACATAATTTTACCCTTATGAGAGTTACCAAAAATTTATGTCAAGATTATAAATTTTCAAAAACTCATGTGCAGTTTTTTATATAAACAAATTTATTTTCGGCTTTTAAATTATCAAAAACATTTCGTCCAATATTTAAGAGCTCACATTTTATGTCACTAACAGTTTACCTTATCTCCAGTTTGCGGATGGACCAAAAATTAGTTCAGTTTTTAAGTTAAATATGACTCAAAAGTATGTGTACAGTTTTAACTTTCAAGCTTTCAAATAGTCAATAGCTGAAATTCGTTAAAAATTTCATAGAATAATTTTTCCGCAGCCAATGACCACACCGATCACGGCCAATGGGATCAACGACCTGTGGTGAAAGCGCTCTATGCCTACATGCCTTCGGGTGAAAATCAGCTGCCCTTCGATGAGGGCGATCGCATTGCTTTGGTCGGCAGCAAGGCCAAAGGTTGGCAGTTCGGTGAGAATTTACGCACTCAAATGTTCGGTTGGTTCCCCATCGCTTACACCAATGCTGAGGGCGGCGGCGCTGGTGAACGTGAAAAATATCGCGTGAATGAACGTCACACCGAACGCAGCAGCGATCGTTATGAGAATGTGCATTACGAGCGTAATGGCGGCATGCGCAACTATCAGGATCATTATATGCCCGAGGTGCATATGGATCCTGCCATGGAGAGCGATTCAACATACCGCCGACGCAATAATAGCGCCGAGGAGTCATCGCCGACGCGTATGTTCGGCGACACATTCAGAAATCAAAAGAAGGTTTGTGTGAGAAATTACATAATTGAAAATTTTGTTTGTTTGCATAATAACTTTCTTTGCATTCTCTGCCGCAGTATCGCGCATCAGCCAGCGGCGCAAATCCACGTCCCGGTCCACCACCTACACTACCAGCACCAGTGCCATCGAATAGTCAGAGTCAGAGTCAAAGTGCCAGTCGTATATTGAATACATCGCAAAGCTTTTGTGGCGCCCCGAATGGCGTGCCCTCGGTGATGGAGCGACGCAAGCAACATAAGCTACAAAATGGACCACAAGCTGCACATGTGAGTTGTGGAGCTCTGTTTTTTAGGAGCGCCACCTAAAAAAAACGTTCTCTAAATTTCCACTTTTTTCTCTAACTAAAGAATCGTTCTATTCTATCTGCCAAACAACAGTCCACATCGATGAGCGCTGGCAGTGGTGGTAGTCAATTGAAACCCGCCGCGGCTGCTAAGACTTCATTGCACAGCAGCAATGATAGTGGCTTTGCCAATGAGCCGCCGCCACAACCCGAAATTGATTACTCGGATGAGGAGCAAACGAGTCGAGTGCCCATACGGTGAGTAGTGGAAGTGAAGTTACAGGAAATTGATTGACACTTGTTGTATTTGTCACATGCTCGCACAAAGTATGTATAGACAAAATTTTTATTTTCCTTCTTTGTAACTAACTTGGCTAAAAGCTATTCAATGATATTTAACATTATGTGCACACTTTTTTTTTGCAATTGTTTTAACATTTTGGGCTAAAATAAATTTTTTTTTTTTAATTTTTTGGAGAGACAGAAAATTTTAATTAAGTAGATACGAAAATTCGTAAAGGCACTTGAAAGCGTAATTTTTAGTACCAAAACTCTCAATTTAACCTGAACGAGTTGAAGGACTTCTCAGTTACTTTGGTTAGTTTTAATCCAGGAACTTAAAACACTAAAGCATACGCGATTTTGGTTTTGTTAAACAAAAAACGATTTCAAGAAACCTTACTCTAGATACTAGATAGTTGCACAGGAGATGATTTACCGTTTTTTCTGCTTTTAATGAGTTCCAGCTTCTAAAGCAAAATGTTGTATCCCTAAAGCTGTCTTGCATTGTTTGCAACTAGAGCCCCAAGGTCCCGAATAAATAGCAGTTTGTATAGGGAAATCCTTACTTTTCAGTTTGATGATAATTGTAGACCGCTTGGAGTAGTAGTAAGGCTAAACATAGCTATAGACCCTGCAGTATTGTGGATCTCTATGCCTGTGGTTAGCTACGTTTGACCAGTACTGAGAGGATCGACCTTTGATATAGCGCCAGAGCTGAGTTGCACCGTGCTAACTCCACAGCCATTTTGTTGCCACGAATCAGTTAGAGAATTCGAGTTTTTTGCGAATGCGAATAAAGGTTCAACTGCTTGCCTGTGCTCTTTTCACAGACCCAGTTTCCTCTTGGTAAGGATTATCTGTGAATCCCAGGGACTGTCCAGTATGGTTATTATCCCCCTTCTTATTACTAAAAAAACAATGTGTTCCGAAATCCATATATTCGGCGCAGCAGTACGGCATGCCATAATAGGAAATGTCTATCTAAAATCGAGCAGATGCGATAAAAGTGTTGGTCATTTATATTAAAAGGTTCCTCGGTATCCTAAGGCATATCGTCGATGTATTTGCAACAGGGACGGTAATCGTTATGAGTAAAATAATTTAAATCAGCATTTAATCATTATTTTATGGTTTTTATTTTTTTCGCTTAAAAATAATAATTATTAGTAAGTATTATTTTTTCAACGGAAATAATTATTATTTGATTCTTATTATTAGCAAAGAATTAGAAAAGAATACGTCAGAAATCACGCTGGTATTGCTTTTGAGTATTTTGAATGATCATTGTTCTTGAGTGAATAAAATGAAACTCAATAATAATTATTATCTTTGAGCGAAAAAATAAAAATCATCAAAAAATCATTATTTATGATGGAACAAATAAAAATCGAGCAATAATAATTTGCTTTGAGCGAAAAAATATGACTCAAATACTAATTATTATTTTTAATCTTTATTGATTAAACTCGAAAAACTAAAATCATTGTAAACTACAATAGAACGTACGAACACAAATACAATGACATGGTTAAAATTGTTTTACAACGATTACAACTTGTTGATTTTCTTTTGGTTAAAATTTAAAAAATAATGATTATTTTCCGTACTTGATTTGCAAAACCGCTTATGGACCAATAGTAAAACCGCCTATCTTACGGCGTGTGTGTACTTTAGGGTGGTCCAAAAATTCATGTAAAAAAGTTAAGTCGGAATTTTTATGCTCTCACCCCCTAGGATTGTTCTATACCGAAAAAATATAACCCTATTTTTTTATTTTGAAATCAAAAAATATTTAGAGGTCTATATAGAAGGATCTTATGGGATGAGAGCATTACAATTCCGACTTTACTGTTTTTGGACCACGCTAATGTACATACATATGTAGATAGAATACAAGACATACTTAGCGGCATAGAACGAAGAATCACAGATGTGCATAGGTCACTTCTTAAATCATAGAATATTGATCATACAGAGTTATTTGCATGTGAAATACAAACCAAATAANGATCATGAAATACGATATTAAGGTCCCTGTATCATAGAACAAAGAACATACATATATACATAGAAGTGCTCATAAATCATAGATCATAGTTTTTAAACCATCTTTTCGTTTGGCGTTGTAAACGATCACTTAATTTTGACCGTTTCTGGTTGTACACCGGAACGTAAAAACCAATTCCAATAAAAGACGTAGGGACATATTCATCGTCAAAATAAAGTCTACTCTAAAGATAATATCAGCTTTTTGACATAATTTTCAATGGAATATCGTCAAAAAAGCGTCTACTAACGTTAGATTCGACTTTATTTTGACTATGAATATGTCCCGTAGATGATAAATTACAGAGCAGAATTATAGATCATAGAGTACATATGTATACATAAATCCTATGAAAAGAAACATCATTTATTATGGCTCAGGCATCATGAATCATGGATGTTAGAACATTGATTTTGAATCATAGATCAGATATAATACATCACAGATCACAGATCAAACGTGAAAGGTGATGGAACATTGAACATACAAAATAAGGCATCAAAAGCATAGATAATACAGTTAACACGTTATAAGTTACAGAGTGAAGAGAGTTGAAGTGGAATATATAGGTCATAACCAAAAGAAGAATTATGTGCATATTTACATACTTATGTATGAATAATGGCGGTTTCGTTTCTACAAAATATGTTGCCTTTTTATTGCTCGGTGCTTAGTGTTTCTGCTTAGAGGGCAATAAGAATGTAATATTTTTCGGTAG